TACACAAGGTAGCATTCCTGGGGAAGATTTATAGCCTTTTTAGGCATCAGTCTCTCCATAGATGAGAGGACACTAAAGAGACATAACCAAATGCAATGTGCTATCCTGGATTGGCCAGTGGAACAGAAAAAGGACAGCAGTGGAAAAATTAGTGAAATCCAAATAAAGTCTGTAGTTTAGCTAGCAGTATTATTCCAATGTTAATTTCTTCCTCCGATAAACGTACCACAGTTATATGGAATGTTAACATCTGGAGAGATGGGAGAAGGGTATACAGGAACTCTGTTTCGTCTTTGAAACTTTTCTGCAAATCTAAAGTTATTTCAAAATGAAATGCTTTGCTGTTTTTTTGTAAGCAGACTCTCTACTGTGAAGTAAGGCAAAGTTGGATACATCCATCTAAAGTTCTTTCACGCTAGGAACGTAAGATCACGGGATGAATTTGTGAACAAAACAAAGATTCTTGCCTTGTGGTACTTATTACTTCAGTAGAAGGAGACAAAAAATTTCATAAATAATTAAGTTATGTGCTATGTGAGAAGGTAGTAAGTGCTAGGAAAAACACAACAGTAAGGGATCACAAGTGGGGAAGGGGAGGAGCAAGTTTTACAACAGTCACATGGAAAGGCCTCACTGAGAAGAGGGCATCTGAGCGAGGACACGAAGGGGAAGAGGGTGTGGGCCAAGGATATTTGGGGGAAGAGCATTCCAGGCAACGGGAACAGCTAGAGCAAAGGCCCTAAGACGGGCGCGTGCCCAGCTTGTTGAGGGAGCAGCAGGGCAGTCAGGGCAAAGGCAGCACAGTGAGTGAGGGGAGGAGAGCCGGCTAGAGAGGTCAGGGGGCAGAGCACAGGAGGACTTTGCCTTTTCCTCTCAGCAAAAGACAGGTCAGTGGAGACTATGCAGGGGAGTGCTGTACTCTGACTTAATGTTTTAAAAGAATCTCTCTGGTAGTTACACAAGATCACCTACATGGTATTCTTGCCTACAAATGTGTAGCTTGAACCCAACCATGAGATAATCAGGTAATTCCAGAATGTGGGACATGCTACAAAACAGGCCAGGACTCTTTAACAGTCAATGTCACGAAAAACAAAAAAGGTGAGGGGGACTATTTTAGATTAAAGAGCCATAACAACCAAGCACAATGAACAACCTTGACTGAAACCATAAACAGGGGTGTGTATTAGTTTCCTATGGCTGCTGTGACAAATTATGACACAAACTGTGTGTCTTAAAACATCAGAAATTTATTCTCTCACAGTTCTGGAGGCCAGTAAGTCGGAAGTCACTATCATTGGCTGAAAGCAAGGTGTGGGCAGGGCAGGGCCGCACTCCCTCTGGAGGCTTGAGAGGAAAATCTGCGCCTTGCTTCTTCCAGCTTCTGGCGGCCGCTGGTATTCCTTGGCTTGTTGTCTGTATCACTGCATTCTGCCTCCTTCTTTATACCACTTCCCCGAGTGCACGCGTGTGTGCATGCGTGTGTGTGTGTGTGAAATCTCTCTGCCTCTCTCTTATAAGGATACATGTGATAGCATTTAGAGTCCACCAGGATAATCCAGGATAATCTCTCCAATTCAAAATTCTGAATTTAATCACATCTGCAAAGATACTTTTTCCATTTAAGGTAACATGTAGGTTCCAGGGATTAGGACCTGATATTTTGGAGGGCTTTTATTCAGCCTACTACAGAAGGGAAAGGTATAAAAGACATATCTTAGACATTAGATGATACTGATTTAACAACAATTTTCTTAGGTGTGATATTAGTGTTGCAGTTACAGGATATTTGATATTTTTCAAAATAACAATTTGCAGGAAAAAACATTTTTAAAAAGTATAGACTATGGGGGGGAGGGACAAAGGAAGAAGCAGAAGACTGTGGAAGCTGTAATCTGGGTAAGAGATGATAGTAATTCTGACCAGGGTGTTTGCAGTGGAGTTAGTGAGATGTAGCTGGATTCTGGATATATTTTGAAGGTAGAGGCAACAATTACTGATAGACTAAATGTGGAAGGTGAGAGAAAGAGAGGAATCAGGAATGACTCCAAGGCTTTTGAGAAATGGACTGACTTAGTATCAACTGAGAAGAGGAAAATTACTTCTTATGGGAAATAACAGGAATCCAGTTTGGGATATATTAGTTTTGAGAAGATAATTCAAAATGGAGATGTTGAGAAGGCAGTTAGATATCTAAGTCTAGATTTCTGGAGAAAGGTCTGGGCTATAGACATAAATTTAGCAACATTCATCAGGAGAGTGCTAAAACTGGATCATATTAAAGTCATGACATTGGACTAGATCACCAAGGGAGAAGACGGTGAGAGCAACCTATAAAATCACAAGGTGGTGGACATCAGGGCAGAAAAGAACTACAGAAAATTTTATAACCTCAGTCATCCAAAGATTGGATGGAACTGGCATTTCTTTAAGGAAACTGCATCCACTGAAAGAAGCCCAGACTACTTAAAGGTCTTAGAAAATTTTCTGGCTCCCCCAAATTTTAAAATACACACAGCTAGTCAAAGGGCAGGTCCAGAATCCCTGAGATGGGGGACTTAGGACCAAGATTCCACATAAGCATTCCAAAATAGCATTCCAAGTCCCACAAAAAGAATTAAACCAACCATCACTCAAGAAAATACCCTTCTAAAAATGCCCAACACAAAATTATGTCAATTTTTATTAAGAATCTCTTATATTACATTTTTTAAAAAGTAAGATAAAGTGATAAAAACAGGTATAGCGATATTTGCCATATCAGTGGCCAATGCTTTAAATTCTGCACCCTCCAAAACCTCCATTCAGCACAATTGCCCTTTCTCTAATTTATTACTGCTTCCAATAGAGGATCTAGAACTTCTGTGTTACACAAATCAAACACTATAGCATTGTAGATCAATTTTAATGAAACTGAATATAATGGGACACATTAACTAAATGGAAATAGACTAGTAATATATCTAAGGAGGAGCAACAGTTTTTTAAAACAATATATGGATAAGTTTCAAGATATTTGTGAAAAGTCTGAAATATACAACATTTTGAATGTACATTCATTTTTCTAGAAAGAAGGTTCAAACATTCTTCTACATTCTCAAAGGGATCCATGATCTCAACATAGTTTAAAACTTTCAGGTTTGAAAATTAACACTGCTAGAGACCTGGAAATCAAAATAAACCACCAACTGAATGTGTCAGAATTGAAAAATTATTGAATTTTAAAAATAGAATACACACTTTCACACCTTTAAAAACAACTACATTGACGATAAGAAGGGAAATTTGTCAAGTTCAAGCCATGTTCAGACACGATGAAAATTCTCCAATGAGAACATGCTCCAAAGAATTTCCTTAACAGAACAAGTACATTTACTTCTGAAAGCTCTAAGCCTTAGAGGAACACACTTGGGCTTCAATTTAAGTTGCTGTTATCAGTTACCAAAGAGGTTATTAGCTAATTCCTCCTGCTTCTAATAATCAGCCAAGATTCAACTCTCATTTTACTCCAAGAATCTAAAAAAGGCTTTTAAATTAGAGAAATGGGTAAAACCAAGGAAGGTCCTCAGTTAAATGGGCAAAACACGAAAGGGAAGGAGAGGCAGAAACAGGCTTATCATTACTTTCAACTTGGTTCAGTTTATTCAGGGCTCAAAGACATTCATGCATTCCTGAATCTAAAAACTCCTAATACAGTTAACACTAAATATAAAATTTGACTTAAAGTCTCTTCAGTGCTATACACAATACCAAACACTTACAGTCTTACTATGTGGTAAGAACTGTTCTTAGCACTCTGTTTTAGCTCACTTAATCCGTGTGTGTGTGCATATATATATTTTGTTTTGTTTTGTCCTTAAGGACTATGGTAAACTGATTTTTGCTTAGATTTCAACTCTCTGGACTGACACCAGTATCATATCCCAATTATCCCTAAAGGTTCACTCTGGGGTTTGATTAAGAAGTGTGACTTCCATAAGAAAAGCCTTCGAAGTCCTGAATCCTGGCATCAGAGCTATCCCAGATCTGGACTAAAGGTCCTACTGTGGCTCTGTTCAACCTGGGATTACATTCTTTCCAGGATGAATATAAGAATCTCATTCAGTTCAAAACTCACCCAAATATCAAATGGACTCTGCAACTGCCTTGATCTCTCCAGCAGAAATGACATCCTATATCTCCATTCTACTCACCTTAACAGACAACCTGGACCTAGCCTAAAAATAAATCAAAGTAGCAAAACACATCTAGACTACCCATTCAGTGACCATGAAGGTCTTCACCCAGACCCAACAGAGAATTATTTCACTCAGGTAATATTTATAGAAGAAGGTATATTAATGAAAAGTGCATATTTTACAATGTTCAGTGAAAACACAGGATAAAAGGATACATAAGGTAGGAGGAAAACTATATAAAACCACATTAAAAAGTGAAAGGGAATACAGTCAAATATCAACAATGGTTGTGGCTGGGGTTTACGCTTCTAAAATATTTTTTTTCTTTATTTTCTCATCTTCTTTAATAACCTGGCATTAATTTGCGCTTTTTAAATATCATTCTCTAATTATAAACTACATATATGACCCATATAATAATCAATCTAGATAAATTAGCTTTATATTAGAGCATATTTGTTTATCCCATTTCAAAATGTTATTTCCTAAAGAGTGTCATTCTATAACCATTTTCTGACCATTTCCCCAAATCCTTACCGAAACCAAGCTCTCTCAGCTATGTTCTTTCTCCATTTTATTTGTTTCAACTCCTCCCTGAAAAATACACATTTAGTGGGAATCAAGTTTTTATTGCACAGAGTGTAAAATCACTCCGGATTTAAAAGCAACATTGTAACACCACATCTAAAAGACCTCTGGAAGAGCGGAAAACATTTGCTGAATGCGCACTTCCTGTACCCTATTTTAAGTATCTTTGTCCTATAAAAATCTGGTAATATTTGATTGATACATTCAACAACAGCAACCAAAATCTATTTTGAGTTTACAGTTTGTGAAGTGAATTTCCAAAAATATCAATCACACTAACACATTCAAATTTAGTTGGCACAGACACATTTGCAATGTTTAACAGAAACAAACAGCCTATGACTCGCACATGGAGGATGGCAGCTCTGAGTTTCTCTCTTTCCAACAAAGTACTTCATGAGCCATTATGCTTTTTTCCTTCAAAGAGTTTCTCTCAGGTCAGTGCCACGTTGCTTCCTATTAGACAAGTTAGCACTGAGAAACCAGTGCCTGAAGCTATATACATATAAAATCTCAGTCTGTGACCCTGGCAAATTCACATTTCTTTTTGTTTGTGTTTTACTTTTCTTCTTTTTTTTGGTGAGAAGATCAGCCCTGAGCTAACATCTGCCAATCCTCCTCTTTTGCTGAGGAAGACTGGCCCTGGGCTAACATCCATGCCCATCATCCTCCACTTTTTATATGGGACGCCGCCACAGCATGGCTTGACAAGCGGTGCGTCGGTGTGCGCTCGGGATCCAAACCCCGGGCCGCCGCAGTGGAGCGCACGCACTTAACGCTACACCACCGGGCCAGCCCCTTTCTTCTTTTTCAATATATTCTCAAACATACACTAAGGACAGACAATAAGGGAAAAGTATAAATAATCCCTATGGACCCTTCACTTAGCTCCAACAATTATCAATATTTTGTCATTCTTGTTTCATCTACTCCCCTCCCAATTTTTTAAGGAAGGGAGGGCTGGAGTTGTTTTTTTTTTTTTCTTTTTGGTGAGGATGATAGGCCCTGAGCTAACATCTGTTGCCAATCTTCCTCTATTTTGTATGCAAGATGCCGCCACAGCTTGGCTTGTCGAGCAGTGTGTAGGTCCACACCAGGGATCCAAACCCGTGAACCCTGGGCCGCCAAAGGGGAGAGCACAAACTTAATCACTATGCCACCAGGCTGGCCCCTGCAGTATTTGAAAACAAATCTTAGACACGATCAGAAAAAAATTTCTCACTAGCAAACTTGAAAGTTGTAAAGACACTTGTTTTCTTTCATTTAAAGCTTGCAATATTAAAAATATTTAACATGTTAAGATATTAATGTCTAGAATAGCTTAAGTTAGAATCAGACTTTTAGAGGTGGAAGGAAACACAGGTATCATCTAATTCCTTGCTATTCAAATTGTGATAGTTGGGCCAGCAGCACTGGCATTACCCAGAAGCTTGTTAAAAATGCAGAACCTCAGGCCCAGCACAGACATACTGAACCAGACTGCAGTTTAACAAAATCCCCAAGTGACCGGCCCGCTCATTAAAGTCTGCGAAGCATGGCTGACTCTACTCCACTCAGTTGAGAAACCTGAAGCCTAGAGAGGTTAAGTGACTCTTCAAACAGGAGTAAAACCCAGAGGATCTGATTCTGAGACCAGGTTTTTTTCCTTACGTGACACACTGCCTCTCAGCAAACCTGATTCCCATCACAAGACCCTTTTGGACTTTCACATCCTTCTGAAAATTCAATTAACAAGTAAGAGAATTTACTATATGATAATGTTTTTTAATTCATGAGAGAGGCTGACATTTTCCCAAATACTATATTATATGCTGGAGCAAAATCTGTAAATTAATCAAAACTCTTCCTTCTTTCGGAAAAAGGATAGACATTTTCAGCACGAGTGCCTTCAAGGGGACCAATTTAATTAATTAATGGTGATGTATTTTTTCAAAGGTCAGTACTATAGTCTCCTTATGCAGAGAATATATTATTGGGTGCAGCTGAAAACTTGGGCCTTTTAGCACAGGATCGATAAACAGCACAGAAAGCCAAGCTCATTTTCTAACTGGCTTCAGTAAGACAGTTTAGAAATGAGTTAAAATGTGCCATCAGCAATGATAACCAAGTCTTCTTGTTACACTAAAAAGGCACTGCCTTTTTTTCTTAATTCTAAGAAAATAAATTATGATCTTTTTAAGGAAAATTGTGAATGAAACCTAAGATTATTAAAATTATTTTAAGAGGCAAATATTACTTTAATTATAGTATCTAAATTGTTTTTACAAAATTATTTTTTTTTGTCCTATGGGCTTCCATAAGAGGCCATTCTCAATTTTCAGAAGAGAACTTTACAACACCTGAAATTTCAGAGGCTTTGCAGAACACTATTAAGAAAGCTATTGTTTACAGAATAAAGAGTTTCTGCATCTTTCAGTGGGGTGTGTTTTCTTAACAAAATTCTTAACAAAAATGTGTTTTCTTAACAGTGGAGGCTGAAAAAATGTCAAAACCAATAATATTCCTTTAAGAATACTGGTAAAAGAGTAAACTGGTACAGCCTTTATGGAGCGCAGTTTGGCAATATGCATTAAAAAATAAAACATGCATGCCACTTGACCCAGTAGTTCCCCCTTAGGAATGTGACCTAAAGAAATAATTAAGGGCCGGACCCGTGGCTTAGCGGTTGGGTGCGCTCGCTCCGCTGCTGGCGGCCCGGGTTCCGATCCCGGGCGCGCACCAACGCACCGCTTCTCAGGCCATGCTGAGGCCGTGCCACGTACAGCAACTAGAAGGATTTGCATCTATGACATACAGCTTTCTACTGGGGCTTTGGGGGAAAAAAATAAACAAATAAAACATTAAAAAAAAAAAAAGAATTAAAATTGTCTGCAAAAATTTTCCTACTAGGAAGTCTGTGCAATACTGTTTATAATAAAAAATTCAAAACAACCAAAGAACCTACAGAAAGTCAATAAATAAATAAGAGTGCATCATAAAGTACGTGGTGTTCTACTAAGAAGATAATGTAGGGCCGGCCCGTGGCTTAGCGGTTGAGTGCGCACACTCCGCTGCTGGCGGCCCGGGTTCGGATCCCGGGCGCACACCGACGCACTGCTTCTCTGGCCATGCTGAGGCCGTGTCCCACATGCAGCAACTGGAAGGATGTGCAACTGTGACATGCAGCTGTCTGCTGGGCTTTGGGGGGGGGGGGAAGGAGGAGGATTGGCAATAGATGTTAGCTCAGAGCCAGTCTTCCTCAGCAAAAAGAGGAGGATTAGCATGGATGTTAGCTCAGGGCTGATCTTCCTCAAAAAAAAAAAAAAAACAGTGCAGGAGGAAGCTGCTCTTAAGTCTACCAACTCCTAAACAAAACCAACCACACAGACTAGTCATCTTAGGAGCTCACTATTCGTGATAATCTAGCTCTCGCCAAACTCAGACAAAGAGCCAATTCTAAAGTCATATGGAAGTGTATCACAGACCACAAAGTTTCACTGTTCTGTTCAGTAATTCCTCATCAAGGGCAGTTCTAAATTTCCTTATATGTGATGTACCAATATGCATCAGAGCTTCCCCGCCCTCCTTTTTTTCTTTTTCTTGGGCTTGGAACAAAAGGCAGTCGCACTGGTGATGCTTCAAAGTGACACGAGCTCTCAGTTTTCCCATCAAAGATCATTGCAGTGAAACCGAAAAAACAGCAAAATAAGAACACTGAACCCCAGCTCTTCGATCTATGGAGATGTATAGACCTCCTGGGTGCAAGAGAAAGTCTCCCCAGGAACTCCTAAAACTTAGATGGGAGATTCAAATAACTCCCTTTCCTAGTCTTTTAGTTTGTACCCAAGTGTCACAAGCTTTTATTTACAAGGTTTATTCTGACCTTGCAAATAAAACTGGGCATTTTATTAAAACTTCTCTGAACCCATTACTCCATGAATAATACAAGAAAAATACTCACACTGATGGAGAAAAACACATTTTGCACACTACTCTAGATCAACTCCCCTTTGCTCCCTCCCCCTAAAGGACTGGCTTAATTACAGTAGTAAAACCCAAACACGAATCAATCTAATGACTAGGAATTGACTATGCATCCATTTAGCAACTGAAAGTTTATTTTAGTATCTGAAACTCTGTGGTTCTTCAAACTAGAAACCTCATGAATATAGTCTGATATTGATTTTTTATTAACAAATGCAACTAACACAATTTCATCCCTCATTAGGAGAGATTTAAGCCTCTTTTGACTGCCAATTTATTCAGCATTGTTGAAGCATTACCTGTATAGAGAAAAAAAAAGTATACTTGTCCCTTCAAATATCAGTTATTTGATCACCAAATATCCTTTAATTCAATGGTAAATATGTCATTTGCAACAAAAAAGGTGAAAAATGAAAAGCAAACTTTCTACTATCTAGTATTGGTCGATAATCCTTATTACTAAGGGAAAGGAAAATAATCATCCTCCAACCTTTTTTAGTTGAACCCTTCCATTAGTACAGGAAATGAACTGATGGCAAATCAAGGTACTCTCCATAAGTTCCTTTTCCTTAACAAATCAAATTCAAAGACAAGCTTAAGAAATGGGAACACAGAAGGGAAGAAGAGAGAAGAAAGGAGAACACGGTCTCCTAAACCATATTATAGGTCAGAATCAGCTCCATTAATCTAATTGAAAGTATGAGCAAGGTTTTTCCATCGGCTACATCAGCTACCTCCTATTATTCATTATGATGTACTGCTTCATCCCATAAAGTTGATAAAACACAAATATTTCAGAATTATCTCAGGCAAGGAGTAAAAACATAAGAAAAAAATGTTAAAACCCTACTATGTCCAATAGCTGGTCATTTTCAAAATTTATAGTACTAATACATTATTAGCAGTAAGGATATTCTGCCTATATTTTGTTTCATTGTTCAGTTTAAGGAAAGTATAATGGAAACACAAGAATCTGACAGCATTTATTAATATCTGTTTGGCAACTGTATACTTGAAGTTTAATCAAGGAAGTATTGACAGGAACAAAATCACAAGATGTTAATCCACCAGGAAAGGGGTCAGTGTGTGTTCACTCTGATTTTGAGTTTACTACCAAATGGAAACTTTAAAGAATTTTATAAGGGAAGGAAAAGGGGGAAGAAAAATACTCCGAGTGCTGCTGTCATCCTTCTTTATTTACTATTCTATCCTGTAAAAGTACTCATAATTTTTTCCCTAAAATGTTTCAAATGTGCTTACTGATGACTGTCTTAATGTTAGAGTTTCCATGAGCTATCATTGGCCCTTTTCCTCTTCTCTCTCGACGTTCTCTCCCTTGGTGATCTAATCCAGTCTCAAAGATTTAAATATATGCATAATTTATAATTCCAGCTCAGTCTTTTCTAACTGCAAACTCATACATCTAACCGCAGACTCAACCAAGATATCTAATAGGCATCTCAAACTCAGCATGTCCAAAAGTGAATTCCTGATCTACACCACCCCTCCTCCAACTTGTGCAACCCACAGTCTTCCCATTTAAGTTGAAGCAACCTCATTTTTCATATTTCAAGTTGCTCAAGTCAAAACCTTTGGAGTCGTCCTTGATCCCTCCCTTTCTCTCACACCCCACCATTTGGTAGGGAAATCCTATTGCTTCAATCTTCCAAATATATCCAGAAACTGATCACGTTTCACCATCTGTTCTGAGCAGCCATCATCTCTTACCTAGATTACTGAAAGCTTTCTAACACATCTCCCTGTTTCTGCCCTTGTACTCCTACAATTTAGTCTTCATACAGCTGCCAGAATGATCCTTTTAAAATCAAGTCAGAGGCTTCTCCTCTGTTCAAAATCTACAATGACTCCCCATCTCCCTTAGAGTTAAAACCAAAGTCCTTTTAATGATACAAGGCCCTTCACAATCCAGCTTTCAGTTACCCTTCTGCCTTCTCCTCCTGTTGTTCTTCCTGTTCACCCCTCCAGGCTCCTTAGGGTTCCTTTAAGTCACCAATCACCAAGGCCCCACTGAGGGCCTTTGTTCTTGCTGTTCTCTTAGCCTGGAAGGCACTTATCCCAAATATCCTCCTGACTAACTCCCTTAACTTCCTTCAAGTCTTTGTTCAAAGATCACTTTTCAGTGGGGCCTAACCTGTCCACTCTATTTAATATTACAACCAGCCCCCTCCCCACCAAAAAAAAAAAACCTTACCCTTGGTGAATTTATCTCACCTAGCAAAGACTTTGTGGAAGAAAGTACTAGATCCAGAGGGAATATATTCCCATGAGAAAATGAAATAGGAGATTAGTTAGAACCTTTTATCAAGGGCCCAGCCACATTTAGGGATTTGAAAAGAGAACTCTATATGCAAAGGATGAAGCAAAGAGATCAGTTACCAGAATGAATCTACACTCAGAGGGCCTGAGGCACACAAGCATACGGCTGTTACACACTAATCTAAGAGTCCCATGGGAAAACAAAACAAAACACAGTTTAAAGCACCGCAAAGCATTTCCTTATCCACACATGGCAAAATAGAAACAGTAAGGAAATATATCCCAATTCCAGGTATATGCAACTAAATAATTTCTGTTCCATATACAGTTTGTCTCTAAGAAAAGAGGCTTACCTCAGACTTGATGTTCAGCTTAAAAAAAAAAAATCACATCATCATTTTGAAATTTGATTAGCCAACCTCTGACTTCCTGAATTTAAAGTTTCAGTTTTTAAAAAGGATACCTGAAACTCCAATCTGTTTAGCAGAGGGACGTAGAGTGACATAACCTAGAGTGACAAAGAGAAAAACTTGCCGTTTCAAGGGGGAATGAAAAATCAACAATTTATTCCAACATGTATGGAACCCAATATTTGTCAGACCCACGATACAAGCTGATATGGCCTCAAGAACGTAGTGACCGCAATCAAAATGAGATACAAATACCAAACACAGGAGCATTTTTTTCTTCTTTTCAATATATTTATCAATTACATTGTCCATGGCTACATACTCCGGAAGTTTTCCCATTCAACAGCTGGCCAATGAGCTTCTATTATGTGCATGGCACTGTACTAGGTGCTGTGGGGTCATAGAGGTGAGTAAGAGGTTATACTGAATGTTTCCTATGTACCCCAGACACTATAATATCTCATTTATCAACACAGAAACTTTATGAGTTAAATACACCCCTGTTTTAGAGATGATAAACTAAGGCTTAGAGAGTTTAAGAGGCAAAACCAGCAAGTAGCAGAGCTGGGATTTAACCTCAGGCACTTTAACCTCCAGAACCCATGCTCTTTACAACTGCTATGCTAATCTGTTTCGCTCAAGTAGCTTCAAGTCTAGAGGGCAGAAAGATACGCATAGAAATAACGTTAATCCACATGGCCAGCCCCACCTCTTTAGTGCCCAAAAGTCTACCTGACAAATAAAAATGGCAAATTGCATACCCACAGGTAAAGAGTACATACATTTTATACTACAGAATCACTCCCTAAAGGATAACTTTAATTTTAAATAAATGGCTTGTAGTTGTATATGATTTAGGTAATGATATCAATTTTACAAGCAAAATAAATAAATGAAAGTAATAGATAAAAGCAACTAGTTGACTAATTTTCAGCTTCTTCCTTTCTACTCTCAAAAAGCCACTCTCTAATAACTTCAATTTAATTACTTCAGTGACAAGACTTCCAATTCTGTCCAACTCATCTCTTCCTAACACATCGAAACAAAATCAGGTGACTCATAATATAGCACAAAATTAAATACCACTTTAAGTATTTACCTAGAAACTTCTTTTTACAAATTCTAAATACTTATATAGAAAAGGCTTCCTTCTGCCTCTAAGTAAAACTTCTTTTTGCACATTAGCTGCACAAAGCTTCCTAAGACAGATGGGCAGCCTGCAAGGCCTTCAAATCCTTTGTTTAAAAGGTGGCAAATGGGTCCTACTGACCATTAAAGTCAGCCAGGTTTCTGGGAAGCACTGACCCCAATAAAGCCATTATGTTTCCTCATCTTGCAAGACCAGAGCAGACAAAGGAGCCAAAGCTAAAAGAAGAGAAACCAAAGGAAGATTAGACTTAAACAGTAAAATCCATATCATACAAATCTGTGACACAAAACAGCCCGTATTTTTCAACACCATTGTTACAACATTAACCTACAAACATGGAAAGACTGACCCCACTCTGTTCTTAAAATCTTAATCACTCAACTAGGTAAAATCTCAGCAGTTGGTATGAACACAAACTGCCAACC